AATATGTGGTCTTTTTGATAATATTTGTTGTCATCGCAATAATTTATTGTTACTTAATTACTAAGTAAATTACTAAGTTATTACTAAATTAAATTTTAAATTGATTTTTAATATTTGAAACTCTAATAACATAGATATATATTGGAATAAATAAAAATATCATTAAATAAAAACCAATTTTTATTTTATATGTCAATTTATAGGGTTATAACTTATAACATACAGTATGCAATTTATTTGGTGTTAGTCTGTTATTTAAGATTTAAAATCACAGTTGACTTAAAATAAAAACTATAAGTTAATAAGTTTTATAAAATTTCTATATAAATTATGTATTTTATTATTATTTTTCTTCATAGAAATAATACTTTAAATGTAATTTTATTGTAACTGTGACACTGATAATAGAGTTCACATGACTATAATATTAATATATTTTTGCGTATAAATGTAATGTAATATACAATCTAATGTCAGCTGAATAACGAAAAATTTATCAGATTATAAAATGATTTGTAGTACAGTATATTATATATATATATATACTGTATTAATATAAAATATTTAATTTATGGAAATATATAATGAATATATGATTACTTGACAATTGAATTAACTATAATTTAGTGTCGAAACAAAAGACTTTTACTCAAATAATTTTTATTAATTGACGTTAATTTGTTAATTTATTGTCAATTTCTTCATTAAATATGTATATTTTCCTTATAATTATTTTATATAAACTATCAAAAAATATTATTTTATTTAAAGAATTTAATAGTAAATTATTCAATAAAGTATTTCTATGTTTTGATAAGTTTAACAAGTATTCAATGTATTGCACTAAACTTTAGTGACTAAAGCATAATATAGTGAGTAATGAAATATTAATAAATAAATTTTCTTTTCAAATAATATTTTTTGAGTCAATTAAATATCTTGAGTATTGAAATACTTTCAAATAGACAGTGAAAACATGTGATTATAAATTTATTTTCTTTATAATTCATATTTTCATGAACTTCTGAAAAGAGTAATTGTCTGTCTGTCACAAAAAAAATTTCTAATTTTTAAATTTTGATTTCAGATTTTGATAAAGCATCAAAAATGAGCATTGGGAATCAGTATTGAAATTTTGATATTTCATCAGGAACATAGAGAAAATGGCGTCCAAAAATTAAAAAAAATATTTTATTTTTAAGTTTAGATTTGTGTAAAGTATCGAAAATAAAGTATAGGTGATCTGCATTTAAATTTTTATCTCTTCTAGAACTTTGAGAAATGGCAACTAAATTTTTAATTTTTTTATATTTATTAATTTAAATTGTTTAATCACCAAAATGAAGATTAAATATTAAATAAAAATTTTGATATATGTTAAAAATGGTGGATGTCTATTTTAAATACTAGTGTTTAATAACAAAGAATCATTTGATACTTTACATGACTAAAGTTGAGTTTATTCTATCAAACAGAGTCATTTAAAACTGCAAGTAAATTGAAATTTAATTTGGATAAGGAGTTAGTATGTAAATGCTTTCTAGCATTCTCAACTGGTTTATTTTTTATTGTGATTAATCATAATTATTATAAATAATATAAACTCATTTAAAGTTTAAAACTATAAAAAAACAAAAAAAAATAGTTTCTGAAAAGGTAATTATTTTTAAATTAAAGGTATTTTAATGACGTTTATATAAATAATATAAATATAATGTATTACTTTAATGTATTAATATTTAGTTTATTTAGAATTTAATTTTACATAAAATTTAATATTTATGTGTTTAAAGCTAATTGTTAAAAAATGTACAGTAATTTCCAATAATTACTAAAATTTGTTGTATACTTTTACAAGCTCTACGAAAATAGACATTTATATGTAAATAGCTCTACGAAAAAATTTAACAATATAATGGTATGAGCTCTACAAAAAAAAATTAAATAATATAATGATATGAGCTCTGAAGGAATATAGTTTTATATATTAGTTTAATAATGTTTGTAGTAAAAATGTTAAATTTGTTAGCCTTCAAAATAATATGTTTATATTATAAATATAATGTCATGAAAAATAGTATATTAGTATTAAAGATTGAGATTAGAATTCATTAGAAAAAATTTAAGTATTACACTTCACCTCTATGAACAAATTTCACAAATTTAAAAATATTTTTATAAATAATAATAAATACTTAATTTTTTTACTGTCATTGTATTTGTATTATTTAAAAAAAATTATTATACAATTTTACATCTAAACACTCATAAAAAATTATAAACATTATATTATACAGTTAATTATTAAAGTAAGTTTTATTTAATTATAATAATAATCATAAATATATTTTTTGAATATAAAAAGTTTATACTTTTATCTAAAGTAATGTTTATTAATGTTTATTATTATTTAATATATTGTTAATTTTCCTTAATTTCAAAATTTTGTGTAAATTTTTAAAAAAAATAATATCACAATGAAATCTATTTAAAAAAATTAAGGTATACACTATAAAACTAGGTAAACAGTAATTAAAAAATATATAATAATAAATAAGTAATTACTTAATTATTCATTAATTATTTTGATGCAACTAAGTATTGATTATAAAATTTCGTCTATTGTCGGCATATTTTAATTGTTTTCTATCGATTTTAATAACGATTTTCATAATTAAAAACTGTAACCTAAATAGTCTGATCACAACGACTACATCGGAAAATGCTGTATAACTAAACTCAGTAAACAAAACTCATGCAAATCAACAATGATTAATTTAAAGCACTATTCAGCCCTTTAATGGATATTTGGTTATTTGTGTATAAATGTTAAATATAGTACATAACTAGTGTTATACTTACTCTGATATTTATAATATAAAAATGTTATATAAGTAATGTTCAACTTATATTTATAATTTAATCCTAAATAACAAAACTTAATTATTTAAGATTTAATATATTAAATGTAAAACTTTATAACGCATTAACGATAGGATATTTAGTGTTAAGTAATGTTAGGATATTAGTTGTAATATAATGTTTATAACAAATGAAAAAATTATTAGTAGATTTGTTGTTTGAAAAGTACAGGTATGCTATTTATATAAACTCACGGGTAATAAGACAATAATGAATTACATTATTGCTAAAAGCATTATATTAGTTGTAAACTTATAATACTTTAGCAATACATGTATAAAAATGTTGTATAAAATTTACTGTACTATTCTGTATACTGTATATGTATTAAAATAGTATTATAATAGAGTTTAAACTAAATGTAAACTAGTCAACTATGTGCTGCTATATATGTGACCACAATTTTAAACCAGATTTTCTCATTAATTTTAGCTTATATTTCATGTAAATGTAGATACTGATTGACGTGTCGACTATAAACACTTTCAATAACAATCAAATCTCAATCATTTAAATTAATTGTAAACGCAATTATAATATTTATACATACAGTATTTACTAATTGCTAAAGTGAAAAATAAATTTATTGTTTTATATAGTCATATGACTTCAACTGTAATTAACGCAAACATTTAATTTACAATAAGTTTTTGTGAAATAACTAAATTACAAAAACTTTACAAAATATTGTAAAAATTAATGAATAATTAATAATAATAAATATAATAATAATATATACAAATATAATAAACGTTTAAAAAATGATTACGACTGCCCACGAGATTTAAACATATCGTGTTTTCTATTTCTAAAATTAATTTCAAGTATTTTTGTCTCAGGTGTTTTACAAATATTAAAATTGGTTTTTTGAAAGCGAATTATTTTAAGAAACCTATTCATGTATTCGTTTTTAACTTATAAGTTATTTATATACTACTGTATATATTGTATTACTATATAGTGTAATTATGACATAACATGACAACTTGTTTGACATAACATATATAGTATAATCATTTGTTATCACACAATAAAATGCGTTTAAATCAAATAAACAACAAATTATTTGCATATTTATACAAAGTGGAACAGATCCTTAATTAATACAATTAATTTCAATCAATCATTAAATAATAATCATTTAAAAAACATAATAATAATCATTAAATGATAATTTTAAATAAAAAAAAGTTTATAAATTAATACAAAGTTATTAGTGGTAACTAGTAATACATAATAATGAATAATAGTATCATTAATTCATAATTTAATTTTTATATAAAAATAGATTAAGGATTTTAACAATTATTTAATAAATTTGTTCACACAAATTTTAATTAAAATAATTTCTGTAATTGTAATTAAATTAAAGATAAATAATAGATGATTACTAAACTACAACTATTATCAAGAAATCTAAGTAATGAATAGTAACTTTAGATATATGTGACTAAAATTCGGTTTTTATTCAATGAAATATTTGCTTAAAAATATGAAAATATGTGATTATATAGATTAATAAATTTATTAAAAATTATATATTAATTAAGTAATTTTGTTTTACAATTTATAATAAAGTAATATTTTATATTTTTATTATTTAAACTTAAAAAACGCATAAATTAAAAATATTTAGCTTTTAAAATGTTTGTATAAATTAAAATTAATCCAAATAACTTTTTCACTCCTATTGTCTTTTAGTAAACACTAGAAAATAACAAAACATTTTATTATTTTTTAGATTTGTTTAGAAAAATTAACAAATAAAGTTGCATTGATAAAAAAATACTATTTTTAAAAAATTGAACAAATAATACATACAAAAATACATAAGAAAAATGTAATTCAACTATTACTTTACAGTTATATGCGAAATATGTGATAATATTTGATAATATGTGACTACCTTTCAAAATATGTTGTTATATGTGTTTATGTGACTAAAACTTTTGCTATAATTATTGGTTTTCAATCAATCGTTTATATATCTAATTATTTTGTTAATATCTTTAATTACTAAAAATATAAGTTATATGTGAAATAAATGCTCTAGTAATGAATCAAAATGTACCGATGATGAAGATAATAGATGGTTGATAGTAATAGTAGTGCTTTTAGTGGTTGGACAGGTAGTTTTGCAGGTTCTAAATGCTAATAGTAAATCAACGAGGCGTACAACAGCAATACATGGCATACCTATATATACTATTATGAAAAACTATGAAAAAGTTGACGTTAGCCTTAAATATAGGATTGAGAGGCGAGGTTTAGGTAGGTTTGTTAGGCTGTTATGTTGCAACAGGTATGTGCTTCAATGATAGTCTCAGTGCTGGTGCTTATACTTGTCGGGCATTTTAATGTAGTTATTGCTTTGGGCTGTCATACAACTGGGGGATCAACTACTCAAGCAAGAGGTTAAGGCTTAGACATAGGTTAAGCTTCTCTTAGTTGTTTTTGTGCAGTTATGGCGCACTTTTCTAGTGTCGTTCCTCTATCTCTCTCCATATAAGACTCGAGAGTCCAAAAACAGTGATACCTCGAGTCGACTCTATTTCTAACCATAATTTAAATCTCTGGTTGTGTATGTGTTTGTGTTGTGTATTTCCATCGGGCAAATGGCAACTACAAGATATCTGGTGGTGGTTTATGTTGTAACAGCCGGTCTTCATGACGATGATCTTGGATCAGATGAAGAAGAGACAGTACTATTTTCTTGGGTGGTGGTTGACATTACTAACAACAAAGTGGTTCATCTAAACCATCATGTGGTCAAACCTCGTACCGCTGATGTCAATGAAAATATACTGTCAGAAGTGGCCCGTAATAGATATGGTCTGACTGAAGAACAAATCAAAAATGGACAGCCATTGGAAAATGTGTTGGAACAGTTGGATCAATTTGTTAAAACTAAATTGTCAAGTGAGACAGGTCGCTCATTTCAACTCATTATTGATGGACAGTTGCATCTGAGACAAGTGCTTCATCCGGAGGCCTCTAACAAAGGCATACCATTACCTGAATATTTCAATACTTTTTACGATTTACGCAAAGAGTTTAGAGTTTTACAAAAACAATGACATCCACACCATTGAAGACATCATCAATTGTATGATATATTTTTGATATTTTATGAAAACTCAATACTTTTATCACTATATAATTTATAATAAATTTATTTATAAATTTACAATAAATTTATTTATAAATTTAAAATATATATATTTTTTTAATCATTTGTTTTAAACGTATTTTTTCCCAAAGATTTATGTATTGAAGGCGACGCTTCAGCTGACTGTGCGATACAAAAGGTGCAGAATATGGCAAACATTATCATTAGACTTATTACCGATGGTATGTCATTACTTTACAATACTTTTTTCATTGATTGTAAGTCTGCTTTAAATGTTACATAAAGTAATCAACTCTTTAATAATACTCTATATTAATAGTACTATTGTTTTGACTAATATGATAGTTAGCTATAATTTGCTGTCAAAACTGAAAATAAAGCGAATAAAATATGGCAAACATTTTATTGAAATTTACATTAAAATTAAATTTTCAATCTCTAATAGCGTTTATACTTCTTTAAAATGTTTTTTACTGACAAATATTGCACATAAATAATTGATTTTAATTTGTAAATTACTTGTCTGACTCACTAATTTATTGACTTTTTTATTGAATAAATCCGTTTATAAGACAAATCCATAATTGATTGAATAATTAAAGAGATCCATTATATAGTCATGTCATTACATAATTTATAAATAATTATATGCTAATAATGTTTGTATAAGTGATAAATTTAGTCATTTTAAATATATTTTATACTATCAGTAAATAACCTTAATTGACTATTATACGTATACTTATACTTACTTATATATAGTATATCGTTATTATTATACTCAGTATTTTTTAAAAGCAATTAAAAATTTATTAAAATTTTAGTAGTACTTTTATAATAAATTTATTTCCTATAACAGTAGTAAATTTGTTTTTTATATAATAGTATTTATAGCTTTTTATACCGAGTTATTAAAATTTAATAAAAGTTATTTAACATTGTGTTTTAAAGACCTTAATTAATAAATAAAATAAAATATAAGATAATTAATTTAAAATTATAAGTTTTAAATATATATTTATAGAGAAATCAATTTACAATTAAATAATTGAAATACTAAATATTACTCTATTTATGCACAAAAAAAATTATTTAAATTAATATTTTTCAATAAACATAATATGAAACTTTAAAATTTTAAATTATTTAAAATATTGTATTCATTCAATATTATAATTTTCAATACATTTTAGTTTTTGTCAACACAACAATTACTTTTGTAATTATTACAGACAATTTATTTTTGTAAAATATATGTATATATATAGTTAAAATTGTTACTATTAATTATTACGTTTTGTAATTTATATGGTTTTATGTTTTCAATATACAGTATATAAATAACATAACTTATAAATTGTAGTATATATTGTTATTGATGTAAATTTATAATAGATGATAATGGGGCGAACCAACCCCAAACCCCCTGAGTAGTGGACCTGTGCCCAGCAATAGTGATAATGTATAGTTCATTCGTATTTAAACTTAGTGTTCAAATATTAATTGAGAAGTCGACTCGACATCCCATCCCCTAAAGCACTAATACCTGAAGCATGAAATTGCATAACAAGTCAAACATTTAGTATACATTCTCTATGCCTTCGAGACATTGAAGCGCATCGTTATTCTTATTGTTGCAAAAGCAATACAATAAAGAACAACAACCTGTCTCTCACTCTCCATTACTCAATCACTCTCTCATTTTCTCCTTTTTCTATAAGCTCTAAGAGCTGAACGTCTTTGCCGATGTCTGTCCTACCTTTTACTCTCAAACACTCCCAACACTAGAAATCACACACGAGCACAGATATGGCCTGTAGTAGTGTTAAAGATAGTAAAGTGACTCCACTTAAAGCCATGGCAACTTTTAAACAACTTTTCATGAGATATAGTTGTCAGTGAAGGGAAAAATGGGCTACTATACTATTGGCAAACAAAATAATAAATTCAGTAACTGTTTTCATTTTAAATTAAAATTTTATTTTCTAATTTAATTTATAGCTTTTATGATAGCTTATAATAAATATGACTGTACTTTTGACATAAATAATTAATTTTATTTTATTAATTAGTTTCTTTCTGTGAAATCGTTAACTTTTTTTTAAAAATCACATTTATTTAAAATAAAATTGCTTGACTTCTAGCTTTAAAACTAATTATTAAATTAGTTTAACTTTAAAATCATTTCATACAAATAAAAATTTAAGATATAAATGATAACCAAAAATATAAAATATGTGCATAATTTATGATCTGAAAATAAGATTACATTTTTAATTAGAATTAGATTTGAAATAAATGTTCTCTGAAAATTTTTTATAACCTTTGGCTATATTTTATTGCATTTTTGCATTTAGAAAAATAAAGAAACAAAAAAAAACAGAGGGAGAGAGAGAGATAGAGAGATCACAACAACAAAACTGTCTTAAAAATACCAATTAACTTAATAATCTCTCCTATGATTTAGTTATCATTCATTAAGACCTACCAGAGCTATGTCTACTACTACAAAATCATTAACACTGGCCAGCAATTACCGTCAAATTCAAGTGTTTAACAAAGCCACAAAAATTGTCGACAAACTACTCATAGATCCCGGAGCCGATGAAATACTTGTCAAAATCCTACCAATTTGAACATAACTGGCGGCAGATATTTCAAACACGAAGATCCACCCTATAGTCTGGACATTGAAGTACGGTATATAAACAGATTACCATGCCATACCTAAACATTACATACCGTTACCAAATTAACATTATTATAATTTTATTTAGATACATAATACAATAAACAAATTACTTAAAATAATTATAAATTTCTTTTTAACTGATTTTTGTGTCGATGATTATTATACAGTATATATATCTATATATATATATATATATATTTTTATTTATTAATTATTGATAAGGCTTTAGAACAGGTAGTCAAAGTGGGCATTGATGTCAGTGATTCATACAATGTCGGCCAGTATCTGGACGTCAAAGTAAGTAAAATGTGAAAGTAAAAAATATCTGTATATTTGATATTAATTTTTAATTTTGTTATTAGATATATTTACATAAAAATATGATTTATTAATTTTCTGATCAAACAAAGTATGTAACTAAAAATGATGGCCTATCGTTTTACCAAATTCCAAACCAGAATACGTAGCACTGTTGGATACCAGTGGACTGACCGCTGCCATTGGTCTAATAGAATTGGTTCGCCTTTAGCCGGCGGTGTCGGCAATATAGCCGTTCAGTGGACACTACTCAACAGTTGTCGGGTTGTGGGTCTGACGTCAACACCGTAGAAACAGGAGTTTCTTAATCGGATAGGTTCTCATAGGGTTAAAAACTTATATCAAGTATTGAAAGAGGAATATCCAGTAAATTATTATTTTATTGTTTATTTTTTTTTGTTGATAAAAATACTTATAAAATAATTAATTTTGGTTTTGTTTGTCCAAATAGACTGGTAATGATGTGATTTGGAAGACAATCGGTAGTCCCGTATTCGACAAACTGTTTGAATACTTGTCTTTGATATCAATTAAATACAATCAAAAAAAAATGTTTGTATTACAAATTCAGAAAATGTTTATTATCTTTGTATAAGTGTTGTATGATCTGAGGGTCAACTTTGTGACCATTATACTGTTCGTGACCCGAAAATCCTCTGAAAACATATACACAATAATCTTATAAATTTGTTAATTATTTAAGTGATAAAATAATTTGGTATTTAGTTATTATAACCAGTATTTCAAAATTATTGTTGTTTTTATAAATTATTTATAATTCAAGAAATAGTTTGGCTCTTATTCTCATTAGAAGAAAAACATATTTTTTGTATTTATTGCTTGCAATTGATTGCATTAATTAAATATTGGCTTATAGATTGAGTTAAGATAGAAATGTTAAAAATAAAACAATAATAAAGCAATAATATTAAATAAATTCTGAATACAATTTAAATGTTTTTTTTGTCTTTTCAGAAGTGGTTTTGATTTATATTTGAGTCTACAGGGTATAAGGAGTGGCGATATTCAAGTATTTAAAATAAAAATTTTTTATTAAAATTTTTTGTATAATAAAATCAAACTGACTTAAATAATTTTTTTATTTAAATTTATTACTTAAACATAAATAATTTATTTATTTTTATTTATAAATTATCTATTTATAAAATCTTAACTATAACCTTCTTATTAATTATATATTTTTTGTACATATACATTATCTAAATATAAATAATTAATTTTTAAAAATATTTTATTTATTTTAATTTTAATTGTATATATATATATTTCTTACTATAAAATGTTTTACAAGCAGTTTAGGAAATCACAAACCACAACTTTATTTCAATTAATATAATTTGTGTTCAATTAATATTCTTCAAAAATGTAAGTTTATTATATTTTATTAATTATTTTAGTTTATATCTATTTTTATACATATAAGATGATTATTAAATTAATTAATATTTATTTTTTATATTGTTAAATTAATGAATATTTATTTTTTATATTGTTAAAATAATTATAATTACAAATAATTCTTTAATTAAAAAACTATATATTTGTGTTAATATAATTACATTAGTAAAAAATATAGTATTATTATAAAAAACCTATATATAAATAATTTATTAATTTATTTTAAAATTTTAAAATTAAAAAATATATAATAATTGACTAAAAGTAAATTATATATTTAAATTTATTATTATTATTTTCTAACTTATATTTATTACAAATTTAATTTAAAAATACTTATATTAAATATTACAAAAATAATAATTAAATACGAATATTAGTTAAATATATTGAAAATAAATTTAATAAAAAAACTATATTTATTATATTTTTCAAAATAAAAAAACTATTTGTATAATTATAAATAAACAATTAAATTGCTTAACTTTATGCAAACAAAATTATTAAGTATATCTGTAAAGACTTGTAAAGTCCTGTCTTTTGGAATAAATAGCATGAGGTACAGTTTGCTTAGAACGCGTGGCAGAGTTCCAATTCGCTTCATTTTTAAAGCTAACTAATACCACTATTGTTAATTTTAATCAGTTGTGATGACTGTGGCCAAAAACGGTAGATAACATACATAATATTTTTAGTTTTCAAAGAAATAAAGCAATTTAATTTTATTCATTAATTATTAAATGTTTTGTTTATTTTAAAAAAAAC